AAAAATGATCATTTATCTGCAATAGATATTTGTGATGGCATTTTGTTTATTTTAAGTACGATTATGGATGAACTCGCATTATTCTGACTTTTTTTCTTTAGTATTTTCTGTCCGAATTACCCGGTATAGAAAAATACTCAGTTAATGAAGTTCTTGTTTAGAAATTATAATTGAATTTTTTGTTGTGGAATCTTTCTATTATGTGGTACTTTAGTAGGGTGAAATTCATCATATATTTCCTTTTTTTGATTTACTATCAAATTGAACAATTTCTAAGAATTTGTATTGACAATGATGCTCTCTAGCATGTTACTTTTATAGAACTGACTATCAATCAATGTTGAATAAATGTTTTTTTTTCATTCATCCTTTTAAATTGATAGATCGATATCGTTTTATCAAATGTTTGAGTTTGATTCCGTTATTGTTTTTGAAAATGAAAGTTGGAATAACTTCTTCTTTGCATTCTGGTTGAAACTATTGATCTGTTCAGAATTTCTATTCGGAAAATTTGTGTTTGATATGTTTCATTTGTGTCTATCGACTTCTCAAATTTCTTTGTTAGCATTATTTTTTTCACATCTCATCGAAGTTTGACGATGTTTCATCATACAGACAGAAAAAAAAGCGATTCAATTGTTCTGTATGCAGCAAAAATAATTATTTCTTAAACCATGTAACTGATTGATTAATGGTGCCAAACTTTTAATCGATACCTATCGATATTTAAAAATACTCATTCTCAACATGATCCAATATGAGACTAAGCATTTATTTTTATTTTTATTTTTATTTACTACAGTCTCCAAAAAGGATCGGATTCCACACTGGATCGATTATAAATACCCTCGTATATAATTGTACAATTTGATCATTCAATGTGCATGAGTTTTGTCGATATTTTTCAAAATATTTATTGGTAAATCAGTAATGATAAATCAGAAGTTATGTTCCATGTTTTTGATCGGATGGACGATATATAAAAAAAGAAAGAACAAGACGTATTGTAGAGAATTGTATCGTAGAAGTAACGCTGTCGATATTGATGGCAGGAAACGAAGACGTCGAATGAGTGAATACATGAACTGCTTCGCTATTTATAGTCCTACATGGAAGAGATCGATATCTATTTATCTTTTGTTTAGTCTAGACTACTTTTCGTCAAACTTTTTGATCGATGATGATAGTGATATCTAACTCTTCACTTATCAAGCATTTCCTTTTCGGCATCTTTTTGTCTTCTATGATCTTCATTTAGTAATATCCTGTTTTCATCACTTAAAAGAGATAGTAGTATGCATTTTTCTTTTCTAATCTAATGACTCACTGAGACATGATATGATGTAGTCAAATATAGGGATAACATGTTAGCCAGTAGAAAAAAATCTTACTATTCACAATAATAGATGGCGTTGAACCGCGACGTACATTAAGAAATTTTATTTATTGTATCACAATCAAGAATGTATATGACCCTCCTTTCAGGCGAGGGAATAACAGACGTAGAAAAAGGGTAATTATTTTGTTTCCCTAAACGTATGGTTTGTATTCACTCCTTTTTACCATATGTTGTAAGGGTCATAATCAGCAACGCTCGTCGACGGATTCGCTCAGCTGCTTCTCGTGGAAATCGTGCACTGTCGTTCTAATGAACTTGTTATGCATACAATCTGTAAAAGTTTGCGCCAGATTCACGATCCTCGACCATTATTTTCCGTCGATCAACCCTAGCAAGGAACGTTTATTTTCCCAAATCTGGTCGGATCCTTGAAAAACTAACATCATATTCATGTAGTGGACCCTCATTACCGTTCGGTCAAGTTTTATTCATGTCTATTGCGGACTGGCTAAGGACGCCAGGACGCTTCTACTATGAAGATAAGTCTGAAATAATATACACAATATATATTCTTTTCTAATAGAATAGCGTCCTAGTGTTTCATTAACTAGTATCTATTGTGAACTGGTTGAGGACGCCAGGACGCTGCTAATATAGAGAAAGTTTAGAAGTTGACCAAGAACAAAAATTCTTTCGAAAAGACAAACATTTCCTACAACTTCACATTCAATGTTGATTGTTGAATTTTAATTTATTGTTATATTTAGTGAAACACTTATGAAAGGTGATTCGAAACTTTTCAGTTTAAAAGCATCTTTAGCATGACTTCATAAAAATTAATTGATGCGTTCGAGGCAGAATTTTAGAATTGCAGTGACAGAAGACTGTATACAAAGTCAAAGATCGTTCATTTCTTAGTTAAAGTTTCGGTTTATCACAAGTTTTCACATTAATATTATTGAACTAGATCACCAGATTTAAGAAGATAACCTATGCCCTTGACTCTAAAACGATCATGAGATATACAACTAGTGGCGTTCTCATTTGAGATTTGCACTGACAAAAGCATAACTAAATTCTGAATTCTATAGCTAAGATCCATCATTTTCTATGCTTGTACGTGCTACATACGTAAATATAGATAACACTATCACCAAGAATTTAATACTTGTCATAAAATTTCCTAAATGATGTTTTAAGAAAAACATCTGCCAAAATGATTAGTTGTGTGAAAAAGTAAAGCACAAAAAAATGCTAAAAAATGACATTCAGACTTATAATTCTCCACCCCCGATTTTTCTTCGATGGATTGTTATACGAAAATCACTTGTATATCTTTGCCTGATTCTTGTACCAATGTTTACGGAGCTTTCCTGCACGAGATAGAGAAGAGTACTTAAAGACGAATGGCGCATCTTTTATCGGATATTTCGTGCGCCTTTGAACTCATCTGATACGATGTTTCTTTAGCCCTGCAGACATGCAAGCAAGCAAGCAGACAATTTAAACTTGTAAAACTCTACGAGAAAGAAAATAAAAACTTGGTTAATTAATGAGTTGAAAAATTTTTTTTTGAGCTTTGAACCCATCCCAAACGATGTATCTTGGATTTTTGAAGATTTTCTTGAAAAATGTTTTTTTGACCTTTGACGTTTGACCCTGACACAAACTATTTTTTTTCATATGATCCTCCTTTCAGTCGAGGGAAAAACTAACCACAATCTCGAGTTCTCCACCCTCGATTGCCTTTTGGTCAAGTTTTATAAAAACATTAATAATTAATAATCAATTAATAATTAGCTAATAATTAATTAAAATTAACCTCAGATTCGAGTTCTCCACTCTCGATTACCCTTTGGTCAAGTTTTATAAGAAAAATTAATAATTAATGACCAATTAACAATTAGTTAATAATTAATTAATAATTAATTAAAACTAACCTCAGATTCGTGTTCTCCGTCCTCGATCACCTTTTTGTTAAGTTTTATAAAAGACATTAATAATTAATAATCAATTAATAATTAGTTAATAATTAATTAATAATTAATTAAATCTAACCTCAGATTCGAGTTCCCCACCCTCGATTACTCTTTGGTCAAGTTTTATGCAGAAGCGGATGTTTTTTTGACCCTGATGTTCTTTTGACCCTGACACAAACATACATACATACACACAAACTATTTTTTTTCATATGACCCTCCTTTCAGTCGAGGGAATTTAATTAGAAATTCTTGCATATATCATTTCCTGTATCATTCTCATTTTTAATAGCATTATATGTCGAAGTGTTGTTGGTGATAAGAAAGAATCTTCCTTTATTCTTTAATTTCTTTTGTTATTTAAGAGAGTATTCATGAGGGTATCGAATATATGAGGCACGCGATAAAATTTTTTTGTTTGATTCTTTATGATCCTTTAGGACTTCCATGTCTAAAACTACTAACCCTAAAATTTTAGGTTCTAATACTCTTCCTATGAAAAGCTAGTCAATATCGACTTTTAGCACTATCACATGTTTTTGGGAAAAAAAAAAAGAAAATATCCTAAAGAAGGTATGCCAGCTTGTGTTTCAGCAGATTACTGAAAATTTTCACGGTATACACAGGAAGATAGAAAACTAAAAGCTGAACAAAATAAGCCATTTTGATATAATTTATTCGGTAAAAATTTAAGTTTTTTTTAAAGCCAACATGAGTGGAAGGGGATCATTTTGATCAATTTACATAAGACAGTGCAGCTGCTGCGGGTTTGGTGGAAAACGCAGAACAGGAAAATGTCGAATAGGAAAATGTCGCAAAAAAAACAGGAAAATGCCGAAAAGAAAAATGTAGAAGCGGAAAATATCGAAATTCAGGTTGTCGAATAAGAAAAATAAAAAAAAGGAAAAAATAGAAAGGAAAATGTCGAGAAGTAAAACTTCGAAAATAAAATTATTGTAATATTATTAGCTAGAAAAATTTTTATTCCGATGATATGAAAAGAACGGTATAAAAAAAAATGTGCAGTTTATAAATGTTAATTCTTTTTTTTGTGGGAGCCAAGTAACAATGCCAATCCATTTCATAATTGCTTCCCTTCGATTTCACCGTTGTCGAATCTTGATTTAAGTGTTTGAAATCGTCGCTGAAAAGCTGTTGTACGTGCTGTTGGTTTTGAACATGAAGCACCAGCAGCAAGTTGAATGATTAAATGCTCCAGGGGAACATTTTCATTTTGAATCAACTGGATGAACGACCATATATTCGGGTGCTTTTTCGAAATTCGTGTTGCAAATCGACGATTATAAGCTATGGTCCAAGAAAAATAAATTAAACAAAATCTGTGTCAAACAAATAATATTTTTTAATTACCCTCCGAAATATTATTAGTTCGATGATCAAGCCCGTATGAGTTCCACATAGATAATGGAATAGTACCATTTATCCATTGATGGTCAAAATACACAAATAAGTCATCTAATGATGATGATGATGTATCTCGAATTCGTTTGAATTGTTGTTCAACTTGATAAATTGGCATTAAACTTAAAGCCATTAATTGTTTGCATTGTTGACGAATTGCTGAAACTTGTGCATAATCAGCACCTAATCCCAATTCAATGATTTTGCGATGCGCACATTGTATAAAATGAAACAGGCATCCTGAATGCTTTGTACCTGGAAACTGATAAATAGAAAGATTGTAGCTGTAATTGATACTTTTATACACAAAAAAAGAATTTACTTCTTGTCGAATTGCTGATATCAATGCTGATTCAAAATCTGATACTACATGCTGCGGTTGAAATTGTTTATTCATAAGTGTTGCTTCATGTTTAAACCGACGAAATAATTCGATATATGTTGCTGCTCGTCGATTCGGCAATAAACAAAATGCAACCGGCACACCTTATCATAAAAAGATAAAAGTCGATTTAATGATTCCATAAAATGCACAACACTTACCCTGACCAAATTCTTGAACGTGTATTAAAAAGACCTGATTAAAGCCATTGGGTGCTGTACTAAAAGTACCATCAATGAAAATTGTCTTATTACTAAATAACAAGTGCATTTGTTGATCTGTTGAATACACAATAACACGTTCAGCTCCACGTTTAAGAAAAAAATCCATTAATAGAAATCGCTTTTGAGCCAATGTTTGTTGGTAGAACGTCGGTATTTCAAAAATACATGACGTTGGAATCACCGGTGTCTTCTTCCGTTGAGCTTTGCTCATATTTGAACCTGATGAATAAAATAAAACTAATATTCGACTATGATTTTTTTTTAATTAAAGATACTTACGATATTCAATAACCGTTGGAAGTGCTGCTGCTACTTCTTCCGACAAATATGCTTTTGCAATTTCTTCATCGTAAATCTTCGTAATTGACGTTGTTTCGGACATGATGCGTTCTTTCATTTTTTCCTTGAGCGATTTGATTTCAAGACTATCCGGACCAGTAAGATGATTGTGTTCGTTGGTAATTGATATAAATTCATTTTCCAAATTTGTGTGCAAGTACACACCACAATCAGGTTTAGTACAAAGCCAATATTTTTTGGTTGGTGAAGTTTTGTTACATTTGAAAGTATATTGATTGTACACCAGCATTGGTTTACCTTTATTCGTCTTCAAACATGAAAGAATACACTGCATTGGTGACGGTCGAGGACTAAATGATATGTTTACTGTTATCGTCAGACTGATTTATATATATAATGTTAACAATGACTTGTTATAGACTACAGACGGCGAAGAGGACGAGTTTTAAATCATTCAAGTAACAGCCAATAGAAGTTCAAAAAATAAATTACGTAATCTATAGATGTTTTTTCTATTCTCCGTTTTTCTTTTCGAGAATTTTCTTTCTGCACTTTCCTCTCATATATTTTCTTTCGATATTAAACTTCTTTCTACATTCTTCTTTCTACATTTTCCTTTCTACGTTTTCCTTTTCGCTGTTTTCGTCTTCTGCATTTTCCTTTTCGATATTTTTTCTATGTTTTTTTCTACGTTTTCCTATTCGATATTTTTCTTTTCTGTCTTTTCCATCAATCCGGCTGCTGCTGTATTGCAGGTTTAAGAGATCCCAGACTGAATGTTATATATGTTGTGCAAGATTTTATTCTCTACAAAATGGCAAAATATATTTGAGAAAACAATGTCGAATCAATGCAACAAACGGCTTACATCTTCGAATTTTTCGTGTTTTTTTGTAGTTTTTCAATAGAATATGAACATTTTTAGCAATATGAGTTCACATAGCACAATGATAAAGGAAAATAAATACGATATTCGAAATCAGCATGAAAAATTGCGTCTATCCATACATGTTTCATCAAAAACATTTTCCTACCCAAAATTGACCTGTGGTCTCCTGCAGCTATATTTCAAAGAAATTTTTCTCCCTAATCCCCCACAGATCAATTTTGGGTAAGAAAAATGTTGTGATGAAACATATATGGATAGATGCAATTTTTCATGCTGATTCCGAATATCGTATTTATCACGAAAAATTCGAAGGTCTAAGCCATTTGTTGCATTGATTCGGCATTGTTTTTTCAAATATATTTTACCATTTTGTAGCGAATAAAAAGTTGCACAACATATATAAAATTCAGTCTGGGATCTCTTAAACCTGTAACACAGTAGAAGCTACACTGTCTTGTGTAAATTGATCAAAATAGCCCCCTTCCACCCATGTTGACTTTAGAAAACTTAAATTTTTACAGAATATATTGTATCAAAATAGCTTATTTTGTTCAGCTTTTAGTTTTCTATCTTCCTGTGTGTACCGTGAAAATTTTCAATAATCTGCTGAAACGCAAGCTGGTACACTTTTTATAGGATAATCTTTTTTGTTTTTCCCCAAAAAGATGTGATAATGCTAAAAGTCGATATTGACTAACTTTTTATAGGAAGGGTATTAGAACCTAAAATTTTAGGGTTAGCAGTTTTAGATATAGAAATTTTGAATGATCAAAAAAAAATGCAACAAAAAATTTTATCGAGTACCACATATATTCGATGCCCTCATGGATACTCTCTTAAATATTTTTTTGCAGGATTGCAGCACTTGAAAATTCGAGTAATATATCATTTCACTGGGAATTTAATGCTCTATCGAACTGCATATTTGAAAAGACGGGGATCGGTTTTTTCAGAAAATTCCTGTCTAGAAAGTCGGGTTTTCCAAAAAAGGAGAATTTTTTGTGGTGCTAAAATAGGCTCATTGGGTAGAGTATTCATGCCTACATATGTGGTGTAATTTTCAAATTGTTACCTCACTCGCTAAGAGAGCCAGATAAAAACTAAATAGCCATACACAGAGTTTTCAAGGATTTTTGACCTTTAAATGTGTTTTTTTACAGGAGACTTGAGTTTCGGAACATCCTAATTTTGATATTCTACAACCTTAGATGTTTTTGAGTATCAAAAGCTCAGCTTGGATGCCTGAAGGATAAAAATTCAATTAAGCAGCTAGCACCGTCTGTACATAAATTCAACGGTTTTCCCATCAAGATTCCTTTTTTTTCAACTTTCAACCAGATATTTTCGATCAGCATGAGATTCTGAATTGAATGATGTATCTTTCAGAAAAATTGTCAAAAAAAACAGAAAGTCGCTTTTTTAGTCAAAAAATACATCATTTTGTTTAGAATTCAACGCTGATTAAGAATATATGATTTTTATGCATAAATATTAAGAGTCGAAAAATGACTTCATCTGCGTCCCTCCTTTCCCTAAAAGTTCGATATTTCGACTTCTTCTTCGATATTCAAAGTTTTTTTTTGTCGTTAGTATATAGCTTCGCACTCCTAGTACCTACTAAAAAAGCTTCAACCGTAAAGAGTTAGTTATGCGAAAGATATTGAATGAGAAAGTTTTATTACTAGAGACACCTGTAATCCGATTATGGAATAACATCTAGAGGTGTGGATCGTTTTGTTTTGTAGCGCACCTCAATGTGTGTATACTGAAATTTTCGCGATTCTATATCACGCCAATCAAAAACCGCACGCTTGCCAGTAAACACCGGTGAAATCAACATCATCAGATAAAGATATATGATCTTATACTGAAAATTGAACTCAACTATTTAATAATGGAGTGGTCCGAAAACAAACACATGTCTCTCCATGTAGGTGCCACAGGAATACATCCACACATTGCTCTTGCTGTGAGTTCGATGGAAATAATAATTCAATATGTGAATAGAGGAAAAGTTCTTCAATAATTGAACTCAAGTTTCAATTTTGATACTACTGAATATATACAAAGTCCAGTTGAAAAAGAAACGTAAATATCTCTTTAACTATTCAAGCGATTTACGTGAGGTTTTCATAGTTTAATTCCGTATTCATTGAAGTTTCATTTTACATAAATTTGTCTGTAATAGATGTGCAAAATAATCACTTATTAATGCAATACACAAATCCTTCCTTTTTGAAAATATCTGTAAAACCACCGTGTAAAATTTAGTTTGAAATCTTTTCGTGTGATTATTGATGCCAACTTTGAACTGAATTAGATTTTTGACAGATATTTTATAAAATTGTTCTCTATGTGTTCCTACAAAAAACGTGGACTTGCGTCAGCTCAGGTAACTGTGATGCCCATTGGAATGAATTGCTCCTTCTATTGCACATGTTTGAATGAATGTTCTCCAAAGTTAACGGAATTTACGGCTAAAATGCGGAAGAATTTCAGGTCTGTAAAATAATAGGTAGTTCATCTGGCATAATCTTTTTACTCCTGAACTAGTGAAATATTTGTCTTCATTGATAATATTATCGCGAAAAAATTGTTCAAACACTCGATTTTCTAATATTAAACAAAGAATGTTGTCTTTCAAGATTATATAATAATTTCAATAGTAGCATGTGTCTACGACCTCTATTAAAGATCTTGGTAAAGTGAAAATAAAATTACACAAGAGGATCAAAAGGATTTCAACCTGAATTTTATATAATTTTTTTACAGATATTCTCACAAAGTATAGATTTAGTGTATTATATTTATAAGTGACTATTTTGCATATCTATTATAGACTAATTTCTGTGAAATAAAATTTCAATGAATATGAAATCAAACTCTAAAAGCCTCACACAAATCACTTGAATGGTTAAAGAAGTATTCATGTCTTTGTTCGTTCGGACTTTTGGCACACTCAATATTAGAAGAGTTGATTTTTTTTCAAACATCAATTCGTTGAATTTGTTAACGACGTAGGCATCTTTGCTTTTGTAGCACTATTACTACCTGTAAAGAATAATAATCCTAAATGATTGATGAGCAGAGAACATTTTCTTAGCTCATGGATCTCAAGTAACTTTGAACATAGAAAGAATAAAACGTGAACATTAGTTAATCTACAGTGATATCCGATAGTAAGGAGCTTCTCACTGTATTAGTTATATTATATGACGAAGGTGATAGTTACAAACGCTTCTCTCTTTTTTTTTGTCTTACGTTCACGCTTCGTTAATTTTTTTTTTCTACCAGTCCAATCGATCCTCTGTACATTGCAAATTACTTCATCATATATTATACACCATGTGACCAAACAAGCGCATCAAAGGAAGCCTTTTCGTCTATCAGTTAATAATACATAACATAAATATCAAAAGTGAAGATACTCTATCTGTGGTAGTAAGCTACAGAAAAAAGACATGAAAATCACACTAACAGTGTGTTTAGTTATTCAAAATTATTTAAATCGCAAAAAAGCATAAATGGCTAATGACCATGTTTTCTCGAAGATAAAATCTGCTGCAGTATGGAATATGGATACATTTCATCATTTTCCATGATCAATTGGAAGAGGTAAGCTACTATTTATCTAAGGCATGATCATCGATATTTTATTTCTGTTATATGAAATGATAGACATGAGTGATGTGTGATCTCTCCGTAATACTAAAGATAAGCATAGCAGAATAAGGTAAAAACAAATAAGATGTGCATTTTTTAAAAATGATCTGAGAACAAATGGTAGAAGTAGTTTCACATGGATATGTCTGGAATTAGGGATATGTGGCTGTAGTTTTAATGTCATGTATTTGTGTATAGTTGATACTTTCTTTGCTCTAGAAGTTGTAAATTCGAAAAAAATTACGGTGTAGACATAACGTAGATGAATTTAACTCTGGATTCGAGTTTTCCAGCCCCAATTCGCTCAGGAAGCGTTCCAGATGTTCTCATTTTGTGTTTCAAATAGAGTTCGACGTGCTCTATCGAATGGTGAAATCAGATTCACGATACCTCATGCTATTCGATCAAAAACTCTAAAATACTGGTTTTTCGCTATAGATGATAGGGAAGCCGGGAAGTAATTTCAGCACTGATTCGTCCAGGATGTAACACTTTCTTGGCAAATCGGGACTGGAATTACTCCCCGGTTA